GTTTACATTTTCTATAATATATATATATATATATATATATCAAATATATTGAATTGCCCAACAAACTAAAATAAATGTTCTAAAAATAAAGTTTAAGTTCTAAATTTACTTAAGCTGAAAAAAATAAAGTAAAAATATAAAAAATAATAAAAATTATTAAAATGTATAATAATAATAATTAAAATGGAAAATGTATAGTAATAATAATAATATAAAACATATTTAATAAAAAATAAGTAAAAACTGAGAATATGCTATAACAGTATATAAATAATACTAAAATAACATTGGTGTGTTAATCTTAATTTTAACAACTAATCCAATACAATCAGAATCAGAACTGCCCTTTTTTAATTATATTTGTATTTATTATTATTTATTTATTAATATTAACTGCCTGTTTTATTGTGTGACATTTACATTTATGCTTTTGGCAGATGCTTTTATCCACAGTGACATTTAATGTTTACATTTTTATCAGTTCGTGCATTTCCTGGGAATCGAACCCAAAGAACTTGCTGAAAATGCTCTATCATTTTTAATGTCTTGAAAAACTGTGTTGAGTGTCTCAAGTCCCTGGTTTAAGCGCATGATTCTTCACAGGACAGGAGCTGGAGCAGACTGAGGAAGAGGAGCTGTTGTCATGGGAGGCCTACATGAAGGACAACTATCTGGCATCGACGCGGCAGGACGAGAGCCAGAGCGTGGAGCATCGTATCCAGGACACCGCAGAAAAGTAAGAGATGAGCAACACCGAAATATAACTTCACAATGTTTGAGTACAGACTATGATCTGAATTCAGTAGGAAACGTTTAAATCTACTCTAGAATATGGGGAAAATATAGGGGGAGGGGCTTAAATAATAGTCATGAGATTACAAGTCTTACACTCATGAATATTAATTACATGACATGATGTTCCTACTTGATTTGCTGAAGTATGAAGTACACGAATCCTGCCCAGATTCTGCACATTTTTGGCTTGTTCTCACTGTAAAAAAATTCTATCTACTTCAACTTAAAAACTTAAGTTCAGTTACTGCCTTAAATGAATGGAAAAACATGTTACCATGATTTATGGATCACATCATTGTTTACAGTGATTACAGTGAAATCTTTTTCCATGGACGTTTACAATTGTTTTCTTCACACAGTGGCCAAACAAAATGAATCTCATAAAATATAATGTTAATCTCCAAAAACAAAAAGTGCAAAGAAATTCTAAATCTATGCCTAACCTTTTTGCTGAGAAAAATATTTTTTTTTACTGCTTTATTTTTCAGATGTAATACAGAACAATATAAATTAAAGCTAAATAGAAATATTTACAAAAATATATAAATAAATAAATGAAATAAAAATGACAAAAGCCCATAAAATTACTAAAACTTAAAAAAGAGAGAGAATTTATCAAAATTATATAACTTTTTTGTATACATTTTAATTCCTTTGTTTAACAGTTCTATCTGATTATTAGATAGACTTCTATCCATATTAGACAGAACTGAACGACGACAGCGAACAAGAGGGAGAATGTGAGCACTGTGTGTTCAGGCACTGCCGCTCTCAGCGCCGTCAAAATAAAAGTCCCGCCTCGAACACATCGGCCAAACAGAAAAACGTATCGGCCTATGCCGATATTTGAAAAATGCCAAATATCGGCCGATATATCGGCCTTGGCGATATATCGGTTGACCACTACTTCAGACTTTCACATGAAAGCTCATATGAAGGTGAAACATGTCTGTTTCCTCTCAGGGTTGGCGTGATGTCAGAACTCCTGGAGCGCGAGCAGGAGATGGTTTCTGCCACCGTGACAAAACGACTGGCCAAGCTTGAAGAGCAGGTGTAGTTCTGCCACAAACACTCAGAAATACCCCAGAAACAGTGTTTTACAGTCAGTTTGGTCTGTTCACTTTTTCAGGCAGCATGGCAAAGCAAATGTGAGTGTCAGCTGGTGAATCTCTTGTCTTCCGGCAGGTCTCAGAGTCCACCAAAGCTTTACGATGGATTGTGGACGCGCTGAAATCTCAGGGATGCAAATCCAAAATGCAGCCGCCTCTAATGAGTGAGTGAGCAGAGTGTTTTTAAGTCAGCTCTTATAAGATGTTTGCATCCTTCTGGATCATCAGTATAACTCATGATCTGTCTTTTTAACAGTTCATGGCACATTCACATTCCTTTCTTTTTTAAAGGGGTCATATGATGCGATTTCAAGTTTTCCTTTCTCTTTGGAGTGTTACAAGCTCTTGGTGCATAAAGAAGATCTGTACAGTTGCAAAGACTAAAGTCTCAAATCCAAAGAGATATTCTTTATAAAAGTTAAGAGTCAGCCACGCCTACCTAAAACGGCTCGTTCTAACACGCCCCCACACTGTAAACCCGAACAGTACTACTAACTTATAAAGATTAAGAACACTGCAATTAAAGTCTGTTAAATCGTTGATGCAACTTATA